GGTTTAACTGTGTAATTACTCTGCGTTCTTCTTGTTTTATTCATTTAGCTTAGTTTCCTTTTTTCATTATAATTATTTTCTTAGTCTTATCGGTGTGCAAATAAATTAAAATGAAATATTTCTGGGTGAAGACAATATTACAGAAAGTTATCGCACTCGCATATAGCCCTCCATAAAGCAGAAACTTGTGTTTTTACACACAGATTGTGTACAGATTAATAACAAGTTTATTAGTGAGCCTTAGAGGTGCTGGTAGGCAGATTTTGTTACATTAGGACGGAGTAAGGCTATCTGTTTCTCATGTCTCCAGTTTAAACTAATGCGGGCAGTAGCTTCATACTTAGCATACACACATTTATACTAGTCTGAGTGGTATTGATCTTCTCATTATTCTCTTTGCCAGAGAAGGAATATGTGTATTACGTAAAAGTATGTTCCCGTTTTCATACAAGAGTAACTGCAGCAACAGACGATAATAACTAAACCTTTTTGTTTCATTAATGTTTATTCATACCTTTCAGAGTCATATTTCAAATATATTTTCCTCTAAAATACTTCAGTACATGACAAAGATATACAACACTGTTTGATACCCCTCTCCCTTTTCTTTCCATTAAAGGTGCATTTCATGTATGCTGATTGACATGTTATTTGTATTAATAAATGTAAAAGTAAATTACATGAACTGACAACCAATTTGTTCTAAGTGATTAATATACTATAAATATAATTTTGTGATAATCAACTAATCATTTTTGCGCCACATTAAAACGATAGCTTTCACATTACATCCTCTTAATTTTAAACACTGTACAGCTCTTTTCATGAAAATAAAAGAAGATATTTCACATATTTTTTGCTGTACATTTCTATTTTACATTGATGATTATTGACTCTTGCAGTTTCCGTTTTTAGTTACGTACCCAAAAAAATTATGTAAAAACCTACTTAATGAACCGGTTCCTGTGACTTAAACGTCTTTGCTTTTTTGAATCCTAGTTTTAATTAGTCTTATCTATTGTGTTTGTTGATTTCATGAGTTGATTTAATTCACTCTGTTTTTCTTACATCTTACTTTATTTTTATCTGTATTTGTATTTATATCTTTATTTTTATTTTTAATTAATTTTATTGGCCAATATACTTTTCCACCTTACAAAACATTTATGTTGAAAGTGCATCCCGGAAGTGCTACCTTGACTCACGGACCATCCCCCATCTGGCGGCTCCTACAGCGACAGATCTACCGGCGATACAACGGAGGCAGCTCCTGCTGATGAAGACAATGATTACATTTTAAAAAAACATTCAAAGAAGCTGGATTTAAAAAATCATTTAGGTACGTTGTTCTTGATTTTTTAATAACCACATATCCGCGATCAACAGCTAGCTTAGGTTTGTTGTGGGAAAAGTAGCTTAATTTACTGTTCATATCTATGCACCGTTTCTTTACTGTTGATATCTACGAACCGTTACATCTATTGGTGAGAACAGATGTTTAAATTAAAGTCCATAACACAGTGTATCGTTTTGAGAGGGAACGTCATTGTTACAGCATCTCTCTGTATCATAAAAACCTGCAGCTTTGAGCTGGAGAGCCGGTAACTTGAACCACTGCCAGACTGTAACGTACTCCTGCTTCACGACACTCATTTCACATGAGGAGGAATCGTGCTCCGTGTGTGATCAAGGTGTACACTTTGACGTACGCAGATGCATTTAACAACATTTAGTAGGAGCTGGTTTGCAGAGGAGGCTGTGAGACACCCAGCAGCAGCGGGCATGGAGGGATGTCTGAAGCATAAGAGAAAGAGAAGCTATCACTAGGGAGAGAGCCAGTGTTTCCTCCAGACCAGCACGTTTTTTTTTGATTTATCAGTGGAGAGCAGCTGGTGTCGGATCAGATCAGGGCTGCTGTGAGGCCTGACCTCCACGTGAGGCTGTCTGATGAGCTCTGTCCACGGTTCTGAACTGGTGTGCTGCATTGTGAGTACATGCCAGTACAGCAGGCTGCCTGTCTAATCTGTATAGCTGTTGAGTTGAATACCATCTGTAGCCAAAGTTTGGTGGATGCCCTAAATATAAGTCAATTTATTTAAAAAAAAAAACAACTTTATTTGCCTGTAGTCTTTTCAACAGACTAATACTGTCATTTTCCACTTCCTGTATGCTGGAGATTGTCACTCTGCATAGAAAGTGAGTACTTTTTGCAGCAGATTATATTTCACCTATACTGTGTGCTGGACAAAAATACTGTCAGGCTGATAAAATACATGTCATGTCATTCTCACTAGTGCTGAAATGACCAGTTGATTAATTACTAATTCATTGATGATAGTCTTAATTATTGCTAAGTCGTTATCAAGCAAAAATGCTCCTTCCTGCTTGTCAAACATGAGGATTTGATGCTTTCTCTGTTTTTCCAATCATTGTAAATTAAATTGTTATTCAGAAAATAATATGAAACTAATGGTTCTTCTCACTCAGCCTTTTTGCTGAGTATAGAAATCCTCTGTTTGTTATGAGGAAATGATCTCATCTCATTTCTGATCATCGACCTGCAACGCAAAGCTTCAGCAAATGCACATCTGCTTTAAGAGCCGGTCGTTTACAGGATGCAGGGAGCGAACACTGTGAATAATTTCTGGTTTTCCTATCAAGGAGAATAATTTGTACGCAGAGGCATCTTACCTTCATATTCAGTGTTTGAATTTGAATGGAAATATCATAGTTTAGGGTCATTTCGAGAGAGAGAGAGAGAGAGAGAGAGGATTTGTCTCCTCACACATACATGTTGAAGTGCTTGTATTTGAGAGCGAGCCTAATTGGATTAATTCTTGTGACAAATGAGGGTCACTCATTTGATTTGCGGCGCCCGGTTCAACTCCTTTCTGTTTAGCAATGACAGATGAGCCGTCATTGCTAATGTAATTAATTAGACTAAAACCTAAAGTCTTTCTTTTCTTTTTCTGTATAAATAACTATGGATTTTACGACGTTATTCCCAGTGGACGCTTCTGTTCGCTTCCAATTTCCATTTGCTCTTACGAGCTTATTAGCGCGTCACATCTGGTGCTCACGGGCCCCGGCTGACGGGAGCTCTTTTGAAACTTTGAAACTTAGAACGTGGCTTCAGACAAAATTTAAATTTGAACACGATAACTTATGTACTGTTCTCCTGAAAAGCATCTGAACGAGCAGATTGGAGCATCTTCTGCATCTAACATCAATGGATAAACACTGAAGTCAATCATTTACCCCGTGTACATGTTCAGAGACTGAACGGTGAGCGAGCAGGGCTCTGGACTCTGGGCCTGCACTGTGAGGTAATTGGAGCCTGAGATAGGATCCTCACAGGGGCTCATGGGAGAAAGGCTGGCTGCATTTCCTTAAAGGCTCCGGGGGTTTGCAAGGGCAGAGCTGCCATCACATACCAGGGTCATACAGCGTTATGCAACTGCTGAACTGTGGAGCTGCAGACCAACGTGAAATATCAAGAAGAAGAAGAAGAAGAAGAAGTGCCTTGGCACAGAATAAATGCCAATTATTGTTTAGTGTTTTATGAAAGATGGCAGCTCTGTGATGGAGAAAGAAAAGCCAGGATGAACCTGATATAATATTTAATTAATTTGACCCGCTGAGTGTCTACGAAACAGGAAGAACAGTGAATGAGTGAACGAAGGAGGGATTTTGGATGCAACTCAAGCAAATCATCAAACGTTCCCATTTGAGAATCCGAAACGAGGGAAATCTATTATATTTATGGAAAATGTGTTATGCATGAGATGTGTTGGAAAGCATCTTCCCAGACACTGATCATAAATTCCCTGTTGTGCCTCTGCTGTCTGAGTCTGCTGCACTGTTGATGCTGAATCAGCAGAATCTAACCAGCAAGCTGCACAGTGCAGCTCAGCAGCAAACGGCTCCAGGGGCAACACAGTCCAGCCGTGCTGCTCTTTAATCCAGAGGTGCATCCTGGTCCCTTTGTGATGATGAATTCATGAACACTGTAGACAGTACAGGTTGAGGACAGTCCCAAGATGTACAGAGTATGTTTGACTGCTGGTAAGAGTTTCACGGAGTGTGTGGGGGGGTGAGTTGTTGTGAGTCTGCATGTGACGCGCATGCTTCCACTTTCTCGAGTACGTAATAGACTTTGTGTCTCCTCGGCTGTAACACCCATCTCACAGCTTAAGAGGAACAACAAGAGGCCTTGAGTGGTTGTTCAGGTTTGCTGCTCTGAGGCTCCAGCGTGTCAGATGTTTACTGTGAAGGGCTGTAGAGGGCCACTGTAGGTGTTGCCATGGCGATTGGGTTTGTCAAAGATGGCGTCTGTGTGTGTGTGCATGTTTGAAGTACGGCTGGTAAAATCATTTTCATGATTGATTTATATGCAGCTTATAATATGTATAATGTTTATATTCCGTTTCCTATCATATATGATAAAGAACGGCAGCAAATAATCACATTTGATGAGCTTGAACCTGAGAATATCTGGCATGTGTGAACAATGACTCAAACAATGACTGATCATTTCCGCACAGATTATTTCAGTATGGTGTGTGTATCGGTGTGTTTGCTACTACAGTAGGTGTTGCTTGCTTACTCAACAAAATAACAGCAATTTACCTGGAAAAAGCTGTTTTCCCTTCGCTGACTGAACAGACGCCAACATACTGACTGCATCACTGATGGGGTTTCCTCTCACATCTTCCTCTCACTTCTAACAGCCAGAGGAGTTCTCATTCAGGACAACAACAACAGAGGCGTTGTGTGGGTGAGTGTGTGTGTGTGTGTGTGTGTTTCAGCAGCTGCACTGTCACTGAATGAGTCACTTCCATTTTCTTGCCATGTTTCAGCTTCAGTGTGAGCACACTTTGACTCCAGCAGCTGAACCTATAAGAGCTTCAATGGACACGGTCTCTCTGCACTGGGCAGTAGAAGAATAAAAAGGTTATTGATCACAAAGAAAGTGGGAAGCACAGAGGTCCTCCTCACTCGCCCTGGAGTATTGATTGCATTCTTTTAACCCTGGAGTGTGAGAAATTGTCTCTACACAGAATATTAAACATTGTTCAACTATACAAACACACACACAAATATCACAGTCATGTTTTCTTTCTCTCTGTCTTTAATCCGCCAGACCACGCAGGCCACAGTCTGTGTCTGCGTTTAATTACCTCACTCTACAGTACATTGTCAATGTGAAATGATATCACTAGGTCTATGTTTCCAAGGCCAAGAGGGAACTTTTAGTCTCAGTTGTTATTAAGCCAATGGAATAATGTTCATTTAGATATCTGCAATGCCACGGAGGACTGTGTGGTGTGATCGAAAGCTCCAGAGAAGCCACTTTAAAGGCATTGATGTTTTCTTTGGATTTGCATTGAATTAATTGAATTCCCATACTTCCATTGAGTTTCATTGAAATCAATATTTGTGGAACGTCAGAGGATGTGACTGGTGTCGCGCATCAAACCTCACTGTTTATTACAGAGTACGGAGAATGTGATTTACTGACAGTTGGGACTGAATGCTCAGTCAGATTCTTAAACTTGTTTATTTTTTTAAAATGTGAATCTTTATTGATAAAAGGGACATTTTGCCTTGCTCAAGGGCACCACAGCACTCTGCATATTCCCCGGAATAGGTCGACATTTTGGAAAATACTGTAAGAGGAAGCATGAGATGAGAATACCATTCCATAAATATCTCGCTGGAGACGGTTAGCTTAGCATAACGGCTGAAAGCAGGATGAAACAGCTAGCATGGCTGTGTCCAAAGATAAACCAACAAAAACAGCAAATAGTCACTAATTTAATAAAAAATACAAATAATCCAAACAATTAAAAGATGTTTGAGCGCTTTAGAGAGAAAGAGGAACAGGAGGACTTTGACTAATGACTTCAGGATGTTGGATGTTGTCAAATCACAGCAGGAGAACAGCCTCAATTATAAGAGTGTGTTTTTCTTTACAAGACCAGACCTGCGACCCCTTTCAGCTCTCCCTTTGCCCGCACCGGGGTCGTATATTACTGCCTGCAATAATGGGATGGAACACTGGGGTCAAACGGAATGAGCCCCGCAGGGAGGAACATGATTAGATGATACACAGATGGCACACAATGGTGGAGACGAGCGTCTGTCTCATAGTGGGCGGACAACTTGGTTCTGTTTGAGTCTGTCGTGACTTAAAGGATTGTCAGGCGTCCGTCCTGCAAGTCCCCCCCCCCCGGGAGGCCGTCTATTATCAGAGGACGAAATAACAAAAGAGCTTTGAGTGTTTGAAATGTGTTGACGCACGCGTTGTTCTCCCGGCATAATAGTTATTTCTATTCATGTATACATGTTTGCTCCTCGGCTGAGAGCGATTAGACTGTTCATCCTTCACATGAGGCGTTCGTCGTATCAGCTGTATTGATTGAGTGGATGCAGCGTGGCTCACCTGATGTTGACTCATCCCTGTCTGTCCTCCACAGAGCAGGCTTTTATCTGCCCGTCTCCGCCCCCTGTACTTCCTGTATGCCTTCTTTATTTTTGCCACGAGTAACTTTCTGTCTCTTTCGTCCCTGTCTGTCTCAGATTCTCCTTTCCCTGACGACTAATGAATGTGTGTGACAAGGCAGAGCCCTCAGGTCTCCACCCTCCCACACAGCTGGCTAATTATTGATGGTTTAATGTGTCTTCTCCGGGATATGTCAAGGTTCAGGGTGTGTGTGCGTGAGTGATGCAGACCGCAGGATGTGTCATGGTTGCAGTGGAGCAGTGACGCTCTCCGACTCGTAGAGTTGCAGGTGACGGTTCTCCTGAAAGGCTGTCAGAAAGCACTTGGCGTCACGCCGTCGAGGACTGAGCGGCCGCAGAGAGGACGGACCAGGTTCAGTAAACTGCTCCCATCTGTAATGACACGTCTCAGTGTCTACTTCAAGAACTTAAAGTTGTATACTTGTAGTTTTTGTACCTGCATTTGTAGTTGGGTCGTTTTTTTCCCCTGTCATATAGCAGGTGGTGAATTCCGCCTCAAATAAGTGGATGAGGGTTTTTTTTGTGTGTGTTGTTTTAAACAGGTCATGGTCCAAAAGAGCCAAGAAAGTCATCACTATGTTAAGTACACACGGAGCTCGGTCTTTGCCTTATCTTATCGACGGTATGGACTTTAAAAGAGTGAAAGCGTTACACTCTTAACTGTTGTCACTCATAAAAAGGATCAGAATCAGTGCAGCAGAACCAGAGATATCGTCTTTTCTTTAGTCCATGCATTCCTCTTCCTCATCATAACCCGGTGCCTGCATTACCCACAATGCAACTAGACCGCTGACAGTTTGATGGGAGGTTTGAGCGTGTTCTGCTAGTAGCTGAAAATTGCGCCGTTGTACAGGTATTTAAGTCTGCTTGTGTCCAGAACCGTCTGTATTATTGATGACACATGAATATTGCAGAGAAACTGGGATGAGTTTCAGATCTTCTGCCGTCTGGCTGTCGAAAACAAAATCGCTGTCCGCTGCCTGAAATCATTCTACGAGCACTTTAAGCGCATCCTCTTGTTGCACTTTTATCTTTGACTTTTTTCTTCACACAGCTACACAGCTACACACACACACACACACACACACACACACACACACGTACTGGAGAATTGCACAACAACTACAATCCTCGTTGGCTATTGAGTAACACCAGCAACCACCAGAGCAGCTGAGGGTTAAATGCCTTTTTGTGAGGCTTCCTCTGTGACACCGATAGCTGTGGAGGTTTCTCTTCACTTCATTCACATTTGATTCACCTGCAACACTCATGTTTGCAGCAGAGACGCCAGGATGTTTATCAGGGACTGTCAGCGGTGATATTAAACTACAGAACGTTTCAAATGAACTCTCACATTGATCTCTTGAGTTTGCAGTAAACAAAGTACATTTGCTGAATCATGTTCTTCTTCCTGAGCTTTTGGATTTGAAGCTCAGATTTCTCTCGCGCTAAACAGTGGACACTGTGGCCCGTGTGTCCTCCAGCTCACCTGTCCTCTTCACGACTCCACACCAAGCTGAACTCTCAACAGAGACACACAGCCGTCTGCTCTCTGTGATCCGCCGGGTCTCGTCTCATCGCGACAGTCCGGCCATCAGACAGCGACAACGTGTCAGTCTGGTTGGCAGGGTGACTGGTGACTCTGAAGCTGGGCTGGTGAAATGTCCTGGTATGAGTCATAGAGGACCATTTTCTTTATGCTTGATTGTAACATTTGTGATTAACATATTTATGAATTTATTGAGTTTACCCCTTTTAGACTCTACAGCTGTATAGCTTAACTTTTGCTCCGACCTCGATGTCTAATTATTAACCATTTTATAGCTGCCATGTCAACAGCACACACCTGCTTTCTGGCCTTTGTGCACATTCAGAACAGCTTACGTATATCTACCTTGGGATCTCCTCCACCCTTCATATGCTCGGCTTGATATCGTCGTAATCTCCTTTTAGTTAGCCCCCGCCCTGCCTGTGTTGTACTGGAGCCTATACTGAAGGAATTTATGCTGTATTGGAATGAAGCCTCTTTTATTATCTAGACCAATGGACCACACATTTTAAACTTTCCCTCATTCCACCTTCTTCTCTGTTTGACTAAGTACAGACATTTTCTGAGAGGGAGGAATGGAAGAACAAAGTGATCATTTGAAATTCCATCATTTTTAAGAGTGTATAAATCTAAAAAAATCCAGTTGCCCTTCATATGAAACTGTAGTAGCACAATGAGGCAACCCTGAGGGCTGTGTGATTAGGATGAGAACTTTATGTTGTACGCTCTCCGTGATCACTCATTCCAAATGTCAAATAGCAGATCACACAGACGTCCAGCAGTGTCATGACCTGCGATGAGATCATTATTTTATGCTCATTCCGTTGTCAGACAACAGAAACTGAAAAATATCTAATTCATAACATCTACATCATACGTTCAGCATGTATTTGAACACAGTTCAGGTCACCACAGAGAGGAGGACGGCTTGAAGTTTAGCAGCTGAAACTGAAACGGGCTGCAGCATCAGCTGCACGACCAGAGACAAAATATTAAAGACTCATGGGTATCTTTGCAACCTGAAAAAGCTGGTGTGAATGCGTGTAATATGTATATGTAATATCAAAGTCTTCTCATCTTGTAGAAGCTACTTTAGGGAGGAACCCAAACAGTTTGTTCATTTCCTAGCATTTAAAAAACAATCAACGACCTAATGCGTGTTGCTTTTATAGAGGCGTTCAAATGCCTCCACCATGACCAGTTCTCTCTCTCTCTCTCTCTCTGGCCTGCTGCTCTGTCTGAGCCATTCAAGCAAAGCACCACAGGATTATCCCTCACTCATTGAAAAAGCATACACACACTCTTCTATTTTCCCTGCACAGTGCTGCGGGGATAGGAAGATCTCCGATCACAGATTAGTGCTCCTCTTCTCCTGCTCGGCACGCTGATGCTCCGACGCTCAGCCAGTCAGAGAGGACGGCGGGCGGCGCAGGGGAGAAAAATAAGCAATCAGGAAGGGGGGAGAAGAGGAGGAGAGAGGCTGACTGCTGGAGGAGCCCACGTGTCTCTTTTCTCATAGCTGGAGCCTTAGCCGCCGTTAATGGAGGACTGGGGGTAAGCTTTTGTTGCTGTGGTGGGGGCTGTGCTCTCCCTCTCTCCGGCTGTGTTCAGGGTCTTTGTTTGGGGGTTTTGGGCTCTCTTGACGTGTTGACGCTATGCCGGCTGCGAGTTGTGGTGCTGTGTGGTGCTTGCGTGCACTTGCTTTCGAAGGATGGGGATCCCCTGTGATGCTCTTTTAGTTTTTAGTGCTTGAGGATATGGATCTTTTTTGCTTGGACTGCAGGATGTATTGATGAAAGAAGGGAAGAAGAGTGAATCAATGTGGTGGTGACTAAACCTTGGAGGGTGCTGCCAATGTTTGGGTTTGTGTGTGTGTGTTGGGGGGGGGGGGGTATTGTTTGTCTAACCACAGTGAAACACTCACTAGATAGTGCACTCTGAATTAGAAATATAGTCAGGTTGATGTCATTATTTCTGTCGTTTTATTTCTACTTGTTGGCTTTGATAACAAAAAAATGTTGAAGAAGCTAGTCGGTGACTGTTTTGCTACACTGTGATCTGCCTTTCTGCGAGCCAAGCAAAGGGCTCGCCTGAACAAAAGCCCCCTTCTCGGCACGTAGCTAATGGATTAACCAAGCATGATGAACACCCACTCATGCCATGCTCCCCGCTGCATCCGGCCGAGGCGCCTGTTTTGCCCCAAGCCGTTGGGTTCGACTGCTGTGCAAATTCCCCCTCAATTAACAGGATTTGGGATTTGGGAGTTTTCCTTCACTTCCCCTCTGTCATTTCATCTCTGCCCTTCGTTGTCGCTCCATGCGTCGGCTCACGGTTGACCCAAATACCCATGCAGCTCCCACCCCTCCCCCTGACCTCCCATCAAAGCACATCCCTGCCTTCCTCTTTCTGTTGTTTCACCTGTCTCCTCTGCATCAAATCCCTCTTCATCGGCAGATTTGGCTTAGTGAGATTTCTTTTTTTACGAGACAATCTTCTCTCCGTCAATTTTTGATCAGCTGGTGGAGTATGGGCCGTTCAGAGAAGCATAAACATGCACAGCGTGGACAGTGCTGACCTGGAACAGTCGCTTGATGCTTCATAGACTTGTGTGATAAATCAAATGGTGTTGACTTTGAGCAAAAATGAGCTTTATCTTTTTGATAGGTCAACATTGTCATGTCTTCACGCTTAATGCTAGCAGCTTAGCATAACGACTGGAAACAGGGGGAACCAGCTAGCTGTAGCTGCTAGCCGTTTCCCCCTGTTTCCAGTCTTTGTGCTAAGCTAACTAGCTGCTGGCTGAAGATTCCTATTTACTGCCACCTGTGAGTGGTATTGATCTTCTCATCTAAGTCTCGGCAAGAAAGTCAATAAGCGTATTTACCAAAATGTCAAACTTTTCCTTTAACATGCAGCTGTAGTTATTCATCGTAGGCTAGATGACTCAGCATACATTTATCTTGTCAAATGCTTTCACCGTTTTATCTGTTCATTGATATTTTGTTGTCCAGCACAGCACTGCTCAGTGAAACAATTTTCTATCTGCAGCTGACATTTCACTGAGCTGATAGCAGGACAGTCAAATAGCAGCTCATTTGCATCTTATCTCCATCTGTGTTCTGTTTCTTTGTGTGTGTTGGTTTCCGTTTGTCGCTCTTCCTACCTAATATTTTGTGTAATCTTTTTTTCCATCTCAGTATCCCTTCAGTGATTTATGCTTGTGTAACTATCTAAAGTAACAGCAGGTCTGGACTTTTGTCCTCATATCATAGTGGGGTAGTGCAGTTGAAAGTGGGGATTGATTAAACAGTTCTGTGGAGCTCAGGTGCAGGTGGGAAGCTCTGATATCCGTTCTGACAAAGGGTCACGCTAACCTTCACCACATTCGTTGTAGAGATCCAGGAAAACAATACGGGGCAAGTCGTCTGGTTTCTCCCCAAGTAGCTCCCTGTGCACACAGCTACAATAATCCAGACGGAGCCTTCATGTTCTTTTCTTTCAGTGAGACTCAAGAGACAAGTGTTTGAAATTATTTCTGTAAAATTGAAGTTTATTTGGGAAGCTTTAGGAGGCTCATGCTGCTTGCTCAAAAATGTTTTGCTGGACTCGGTATTTCCCAAAACCTCAAAAAGTCAGCTCCTTTACTGTAAGCCCATCTTGAATGATGGTGTTGTAAAACAACACAAATAACAACCCTTTAAGTTTTTTATGTTATTTTTTCGAATGGACTTAAAAAGCTTTCTTCGGTCAAAGGATTAGGGCCAGGAACTGTAGATGACCAGAACAGAGGTTCTCCGATTAGGTTTTATGAAGATGTAACAAAACTCCTCGGCAGCGGCTAATGACCTCTTACCTAGAGCCCATCGTAACTTCAGCACGCCGTGTCAACGTGTGGCAGTTTAACAGTGTGGTCCCTTTTTAAACTGCAGTGTCGGCTGTGAGCTGAACCTGAACGAGTGGAGGTGAGCATGGCACTGATGAGGCTGCAGCAGCACCAGGATACTGTTGTCAGTCCGCTGACAGGCTAGTCTGTTAGACGTCATTTGACATCGATCACTGCCTACTTATTCTCTGTTATTTAGTGGCTTTCTTGTGATAATCAGTCCCTATGCAGATAGATAGATACATGGACAGATCAGAGGCAATGGTCCTCTGAACACAGACAAAAGCTTCTGTGTCTCCTCGCGGACGTTTTTGCATTTCTCTGTAGTCGTTTTGTGTCTCTTTGTTGTTGTGATCGTTGCTTCGCTTTGTGATTGTTTTGCGTCCCTGTGGTCGTTTTCGTCTCTCTGCAGTCATGTCTAGTTTCTCTTTGTTGTTGTGGTTGTTTTGCTTCTCATTTTGCATCCTCTCTAGACATGTCTCTTTGTGTTCATTTTGCGTCACTTTGTGGTCGTTTTGCATATCTTTGTGGTCATTCAGCGTCTTTGTGGTAATTTTTCCTGTCTTTGTAGTTGTTCTGCTATCATTTTGCATCTGTGGTTGTTTTGCCTGTCTTTGTAGTTGTTCTGCTATCATTTTGCATCTCTGTGGTTGTTTTGTGTGTCTTTGTAGTTGTTTGATTGACTTTCCAATAAGGGGCCCTGTGCCTGTGCCTGGTAGGCCCGCTCAACAGTCGATCCATGGATGGATTGATAAGTGGATCGTTTAGAGTTCCTATCGTCCTTCTCTCATGTTGTCATGTCAGAGCTATTCATTTTTCTGCAGCAGCATACGGTGTTCCAGCGTGGCCTTGTGATAATGTTCATGAGGGATGATTACTCTGCAATGAGGCGACAGTGTTCTTTCTGACAGAAGCTGGGTGAGTTGATGCCACTAGTTACCAGCCAGTCATTGCATCTATTAGCAAAGAGGTCTCTGGGGAGTAGGGGTGGTTTTGTACGTATCTGAGCCGTCCTGATATCAGTGGAAAGTATTGTGTAACATAAAATGCTCGGGAAGTGATTTTTTGATTTCCACTGCTGATAATCATTGATGTCATCACCTTTAGTTTGTACTTTGTACGAATGTGTGCTCGCTTATTCAGATGTGTTATCTGTGGCTCAGTGGTCGAGCAGGGTCGTCCTTCAATCAGAGCATCGGCGGTTCGATCCCCGGCTCCGTTTTGACGTGTCCTTGGCCAAGACACTTAACCACAAGTTGCTCCCGTAGCTGTGGGAATGTTGGGCAGGTGGCACATATTATGAGGGGCATATATTTTAATCAACATTTTCAAAAATGTTTTAGTTGCAGCTGAAATAGTTTATGAAGCAGTCAATTTATTGTTTGAAAGAAAGTGAATCCGTTAACATTTTTTGATAATCGATGAATCGTTTAAGTAATCGTGTTCTAATAAACACTCAGTTGTTCCAGCTTGTCAACTATGAGAATGTTCTGCTGTCCTAGGTTTTGTATAATTGTTGTAAACTGAATACTTTTGGGTTTTGGCCTGTTGGACAGAAAAGAATTTGAAGAAGTAATCTTGGGCTTTCGGGAATTGTGACATTATGTGTAAATCCTCACAATCTTTAGACATTTCATAGACTAACAATCGAATCAATCAGCAGATAATGAAAATAGCTTTATACTATATTTCATCAATTGTTTTTCAAAACATGGATAATACGGGCAGTGAATATGCTATTTATCTCTCAGCCATAGAGTCACATTATCTATTGTTCTTTCTTTAATTTAATTCTGCGTGTTTAATAATCTCTTGCGGTGCCCTGGTCGTGGTTTGCTGCCAGTGTATGCAGCAACATTCTTTGCAGCTAATAACCACATTTATAATCTCAGCGTTTACTTCTCACAGTCTCTGTCGTCTCGTCTTCTCTTCCAGTGCATGAGGAGCGTTACTCTGCTGCAGACCGCCACAGCCTGAAGCCACCCTGCCAAATCTGGAGAGACCATGTCTGGAGCCTACGACGAGTCCGCCAGCCAGGAGGAGACCACGGACAGTTTCTGGGAGGTGAGATGGCAGGGAACAGTCTTTGGGAACTGAATACCGCTCGGTGGTGATGAACGCTCACTGAACCTGCGCATGCTTCGCCGGGGGGGGGGGAGATCTGAGGCCTTCAACTGCATGTAGGCACAAATTCACACATAAACACTAAATTCTAAGAATAATTCATCAGTACTGTCGGTTGCATTGGCTTTTAATCTATCAGCATGATGACAAACGGCTAAATATTAGTGCCATTATCTCTAATGGAGTTGACCGAGCCAGCGGAATCTTCTATTATGCAACGATTAGAATGAGTGCAACAATTATCAAACAAATGATCTACTGCTTTGGTTCAGCCTCTTATGTGGTTGCTCTATTCTCACCTATGGATGACACTGAGGTGACACTAATGTCTCTTTTATGAGCTGCAATAGTTGTCACCTCTTATTAGAGATGATACAGTTTGCAGTATTTATCACCACCTGCCTTCATGCTGTAAAAAGGCTGAAGTTGCCAAATTAAACATTTTAGTTGTAGCTGAACCTCATTTCCTGTATCGCAACCTCTTTGTCTTTGAAGTTTCTCTTCCTTTTGTTCCCCACTTTCTCATTTTTTCAATTAGGTTGTCCCACATTTGTGGGTGCTAGCTACTGAGCCTTTGCTAATGAGCTTGTGTGTGGAGCAAGGTTGGGTTTTTCATTGTTTGTATCACATTTTAAATGAGGCCTGAGCCTTTGAGTTTGAAGTTGTTGTCCTGGCCTCTACATATATGTGGGTCTGGAGCTTGTTAGGACTGTTGTTGCAATGACAGCTACAACGTACAGGTTTTCCAGTGTGCTCCATCACTTCCATACTGACTCGTCCAACATCTGTCTACCGTTTAAAGATAGGAATAAGTGTTGCAAATTGAAGCCATCTGCTGTCTGTCTGATGACAACTTAAAAGATGGTATGATAGTAGGGCTGCAAGTAACAATGACTTTTATTAAGGATGAAATATATAGTCTGCAAATAGGGAAAACTGTTCTCTAAATCCTCTGATTACATATTAATGAGCCCAAAATATCCAGATTACTGTCAAATGAATCAAAGACAATCCGCAAATCATCACAACTTAGAAGCTGACTAATGTTTGTCATGTTTGTTTGTATAATGACTTCAGTGATCATTTGTCAGAACAGTTTATTTCGCTGATTGAATCATTGATTCATTGTTTTAGCTCTAGATGACAGTATGTTGCACTGGGTTTCTCCCCAGAGATTACCTCAACAACAACCTTTCCTGAGCTCAAACAGTCCCAAGTGATTTCAGCGACAAGTTCCATTCATTCAAATCATTACACACATGAGGCCGGTTCAACGGTGTTCAAACCAGGAAACAAAGTGTGACACATCTAAAGCTACAGATACCATTGACTGTCATGTTGCTGCGTGTTTATTTATGACGGATGGGCTCAGTGAGTATATTGGAGACGTACGCATCGTCACTTCACACGTTCAGGGTTTTATAATTAATGTCCTCTTTGGCTCGGCGGTGCGTTTCATCCTCTCCGCGTCTCTCCGACCAGCGATCAGCTGGAGCAGCAAAAGGTGCCTGTTCCCAGCACACAGTCGCTCCACAGTGGAGCTGCTGCAGTGCTGCCCGCCGATCGCTGACTCGGCTGAAGCAGACGACTGGTGTGGAATGCAATCCCTCCCCGCCTGCTTTCATTCAGTCCACGTGTGAGATTTGTGGAGTGTCATTTTCAGAGTGAGGTATAGGTAAACACCTATTACACATTCAGCAGAGATGCAGTCCTTTTTTTCCTCTCTCTCACAAATGTGTGACATGAATGCAGTGATGTGGGATTTTATCCTCTCTCTGTTTTTCTGTCTGCAGGAGCAGACAACTCTGGGAGGTTGCTGCTCCTGCGTCTACAGAGAGTTATAGATGAATTCTATGACATAAACGCACCCCCTGCGTTCAGTGCATAGATCCATTCTTACCAGCAGTCTCTCCCCTGCTGTTTCCGCCTGCCTTCTTACAGCATCACCTGCAGGCTGAGTGCCTTTTAGAGGAGGCACCTCACACACACTGATTCCTGTAACAGCGAAACAGTGAGCAACACAAATCATGCCGTCTTCCTGCCACAACTGTCAATAACGAGGAATTTCCATTTTTGTTGTTGTAATTAGCGGATCATTTCTAGCAACTAGAAACAATCTGAAAATTCTCTCTTTAGAGTCATCTCTTCATTTTTTAAGCAGCAGAAGGATTTAAAACATGAGCATCAATGTCAAAGTCCTCAACTAATCTCCACAAATCAGAACCTAACAGATTATCTTTCTTTACCTCAAGGAAATTTAGAGAACATGTTCTCCTCCCACCAGGAGGTGAAGACGTCATATAAAGGGTTATTACGTTGTGCTGTGTACCGTTGTACAAGGCGATACGTTTTCATATCCATCTATTCGATAAGAAGCTACAGCCAGCAGCTGGTTCGCTTAGTTTAGCACAAAGACTGGAAGTCTGGGGAAACAGCTAGACTTGCCCTTTTAAAAAACCCACCTACCAGCACCTCTTTGTGGATTTTGTTACCGTTGATCAGATCCAGGCTAGTCTTCATGCTAAGCTAAGCTAATCACCTCCAGGCTGCAGCTTCGCACCGATCCTCTCACACTGTCAGCAAGAAAGCAACTTATGTCCCATAAAGCCGACCTATTCCTTTAATACCATTGATTTGACTGACGGTAACTTTGTTTCCATGTAAGGTTGGGAACTACAAACGTACAGTGAAGCGGATTGACGACGGTCACCGGCTCTGCAATGACCTGATGAACTGCATCCAGGAGCGTGCCAAAATTGAGAAAGCCTACTCACAGCAACTGACGGAGTGGTCCAAGAGGTGGAGACAGCTGGTAGACAAAGGTGACCGCTGTCTCACACTCATGTGGTGCAAATTCACATAATGTTCTACAAAAACATAATCTGTATTTTTTTGGGATACGATGCTTGACTTGACCCTTCCCTTCCTCTACCAGGGCCTCAGTACGGCTCAGTAGAGCGAGCTTGGATGGGGGTGATGACGGAGGCGGAGAAGGTGAGCGAGCTTCACCAGGAGGTGAAAAACAACCTGATCAACGAGGACTTTGAGAAGGTGAAGAACTGGCAGAAAGACTTGTACCACAAACAGATGATGGGAGGATTCAAGGAAACCAAAGAGGCAGACGAGGGCTTCAAGAAGGCCCAGAAACCCTGGGCCAAAAAGCTAAAAGAGGTGAGAAAGTTTTATTGTTGACGCATCCAGTCATGTGCAATTAAGTGGACACATTTTCAGACTGTCCAAAGATATTGAACTCATTTTAAAAAGGGTCAAAAGTTTGTTTTAGCTGCAGAGGTTTCATGGAGACTACCATAAATATTAAATGGGATTAATTAATTTAATTAGTTTCTGAGATGTGTTGTTGTTGAGTTTTTCAGATATCATTTTTCAGCGACAAATACACAAATACAAATACAACTATTCTCACCTCATTTTGAGCTCCAGTGGCAGCAGATATTTCACAAATGAAAGTAAAACTGTCTACATGACTTGTTGCCAAAAGAGTGAATATTATTTTTTTATCATTCAGGGGAACAGATTATTTATGTCGCTTTTAATATCAGCATCAGCTGAAACCAATATTTTCAAGTCATTTTTCTACAACTGAGAACTTTTACAACTACTTTTTGTTGCAGTCGCTTATCATGTGACAGTTGTATAAAGAATTAACCACTGATTGTTTCAGAATACAAGCTTCTTTTTAGATTTTAAACAATCAACAACTATATAGATCATTGGTCAATCATTAAAAATACATTCCTTATTTTTTGCTTTCAAATTGTGAAGATTTGCTGCTTTTCTTTATCTTATGTGATGGTTAACTGAATAACTTTAGGATTATCACTCTGCATTTTTGCTGCATTTTTCACAAGAAAATAATGGTGATATTAATCAGTTATGAAAATAATCATTAGTTGCAGCCCTACTTCTTTTATGGCGAGTTTATGTGTATATTTCTCATATGATCAAACAAGATTGAATGTGTTTATGTACTCTTGTTCCTCTAGCTCGAGGCTGCCAAGAAGTCCTACCACATGGCCTGCAAAGAGGAGAAGCTGGCGTCCACCAGAGAGGCCAACGGTAAGGGAGAGGCCTCGGTGACCGCTGACCAGCAGAAGAAACTCCACGAGAAATTGGACAAATGCAAGCAGGACTCACAGAAGGTGAGAGCATCGACTGCTGCAGCTCGTTGGGAAAAAGTTACTCAAGCTCAAAGCAAATCAACTCGCAGGCTATTTTAAGATATAGAGCTGGTTCCACCGGGCCAAGTGTCATAAAGGCCTCTTAGCTACATTATTAATGTGTGACTGAATACCACGCCTCCCCCTCTACATGTATGCGTCTCCCTCGTTAATCCAACGTTAGCTATTCTGGGCTGAAGTGGACTCCGGTCTCCTTCGACTGACCGTCACGCTCTTGAACCACGATTCTTCGTTGTGCTTAAAAACACATTTATTTACCTTTCAAGGTTAATACGACTCAACATTTGACCGCAGTGAGATATCGAACAACATGATTAATTTCAGGCTGTTAAGTGTGTCTTGTATGTGTGTGTTTGTTCCCACCAAGGCCAAGGAGAAGTATGAGAAGGCTCTGGATGAGCTGAGTAAGTGCACTCCACAGTACATGGAGAACATGGAGCAGGTGTTCGATCAGTGCCAGCAGTTTGAAGAGAAGAGGCTGAGCTTCCTCAGGGAGGTGCTGCTGGACGTCAAACGCCACCTCAACCTCACGGAAGACCAAAGGTCTGAGTCGCTCATATAACAGTGAATACGACGAGGCGATGGTTGTCAGATAATCATTCACTCGTACGCTAACCCCTCGCTGTCTTTTCACAGCTATGCTACAGTGTACGGAGAACTGGAACGCACCATCACGTCGTCCAGCCCGCAGGAAGACCTGAAGTGGTTCAGCAACACCAACGGCCCCGGCATGCATATGAACTGGCCCCAGTTTGAGGTACAGACACAGGCTTAAGTTGTAAGACGTTAAAACATCGCTGGAGACCTGCAGTATATATGCTGGCCAATCATCAAAAGGAATAGCTTGACATTTGTTTTTGCTGAGAGTTTGATTGATACGTTTCTCATGTCTGTGTGCTAACAATGAGGCTACAGACAGCAGCCTGTTAGCTTAGCATAAAGACTGAGAACAGGGGGAAACAGCTAGCCTGACTCAATGGGAACAAAATCCAACTATTTAACATGTTATATCTTGTTTGTTGAATCAAAGTGTATGTGTCGTGCTGGACTAATTCTTGGCCAAGTTCCTCAAGTCTCCAGGAAGATACTTTTTCTAATCTCAGCAAGTAGGCATACTTTACAAAATGTTGAGCTATTCCTTTAATATTACATTTTCTATCTATCCTAGTTTAACAGCAATAAAAACAAAGATAACAAATAAAATGATGATATGTTTTTCTTTAGATGATACTAAAAGGAGAGCCGACCATTTTGCAAAGTGGTAGTAAAAGTTGGTTATGGAATATTTATGCAGTGTCCAGCATGGATTAGCATCATATTGATTGGTATTGCTCAAAATAAGTGTTAATTAAATATTTCACACTGAGCGATGTGCCTGGAATTGATCAGTAGTTCCTATGTTTTGCAGGAGTACAACCCAGACCTTACCCATAACATCTCGAAGAAAGAAAAGTCAAAGAAAGGCGGCGATGGAGTCATGCTGACTAACGTCACAACAGCAGTCGACCAGGCTCAAGCTGTAGACCGGGGAAGGTAAACACCCACATATGTCACATTTTCACACTTATTTAGTAGATTCTCATCTTCTAAATGTATGTTGTAAATCATCAGTTTACCTTTGCATACTATATCTGGTATAATCAGTGTCTTCCTTCACCATATGGTGTCTCATTTATATTTAATATTCGTTTGTATTCATGTCATTTTTTATGTAATTTAGTTTAATTTAAGTGTTTTATAAATGAGTAACTATTGTCATCTTTTAATCACAACTACACAAACACAACTAAAGTACTGTAGTCCTATTGATATTAATAGTAATAGTAGTTATTGCAGCAGTAGTAGTATGAGCAGAAATGGTTCACAAGTCAATAAGATAGAGCAAAAAACAACAACACACTAAAACATACACAGCCGCATCAACAGCCGCGGCATGAGGACGTCATGATATTTAACTGGTGGGACTGAACACTAATGTTCTGCTGAAATGTGCAGTGTCAGCAGCTACGAGAAGAACCAGGCGTACACGGCCTCCACAGAGTGGTCGGACGAGGACCAGACTGCCCCGGACGAGGACCAGATGGCCCCAGACGAGGACCAGACGGCCCCGGACTCGGGCAACGACACCAACGGAGGGACCAACCCCTTCGACGAGGAAGTGGGGAAAGGTGTGAGAGTGAGAGCGCTGTACGACTACGAAGGCCAAGAGCAGGACGAGCTCAGCTTCAGAGCAGGTGAGTGTGACACCTGTTGACCAAACGATGAATACCCGACAGCGCAGGAACGACTCAAGAGTGACGATTTCACTAACGAATGGAAGTTTGTCAAGTACAGTTCCTGCTGCTGTCACCGTTAGTGCTCGATGTCAAAGGAATACTCTTTGTACGTTTTGTATTGCATTAGCTCACCAAAGCAAATTCCTATCAATGGCAATAAAGCATTGATTTGTTAAATCAACAATTAAAATGGATTACAGGAGTAATGAAGTTGCATTGCAAAAAAAAACGACCTTTGTGTCGCCCATGACCGATGTAAGAAACTGTAGTTTGTGTAATAAACATAATAAACATTAGCGACAAACAGAAGCTGTGTGTTTAGTGTTATGAGTTGTCATCACAGTTGGATGATACCACTATACATATTTTATGAGGTGAAAGAAATACTTAAAAATCAGTAAGCAGGGCCGCTTTACGGCAATTATTTTGTGACCTTTAGACAGAGCCTGGCTAGCTGTTTCCCCCTGTTTCCAGTCTTTATGCTAAGCTAAGCTAACCTGCCGCTGGCTGTTACCTTACATTTAACAGACAGTGTTTGACACTGGTATCGGTCTTCTTATCTAACGCTTGACAATAAAAAAAAAAAACTGTATTTCTCAAAATGTCTAACTATTCCTTCAAATCAATTAACCAAAAGCACAACATTCACGTCTGGTACATTTCTGTACGCAGGCACAGGGAGAACATGCAAACTCCAAACTGAGAGAACCCAATGTTGAATTAGATTAACTATTGTAAAAGGTTGTATCCATACTGACCACCAGTGTTTATAAAATTACTCGTGAATTATGCTGAAAAAGGGGGTTTTGATATCTTGATACTTTGGTTTTGCCATTAAACTGGTCATTTACTGTCACCACGGTAAACAGCAGCTATCCTACACACGAGTTATTTTTGGTGGAGTGGTCCTTTAATCTTCTCGTTTACAGCTGTAGGACCCATGTAACATTGACTCTGTATTATATTAATCAGAAGTGGACATTTCTGTCTCCTTTTATGGATGAAGGGGACGGGCTGATGAAGCTGGAGGACGAGGACGAGCAGGGCTGGTGTAAAGGTCGTCTAGACAACGGGCAGCTGGGTCTTTACCCGGCCAATTACGTGGAGCCGATGTAGCCGATGTAGCCGTTCCAGCGGAGGGCAGAAGACCCCGGACTGAACCGTCCAGTCATAACTGCACATTTGCCAGAGACTTGAAAGCAAAGCTTCCTCTTCCCGTCGGGCACGGTGACCTGTCTTCATCTCAGCATCACAGAGAAAACTTTACTGAAACAAGTTCAGGATCACATAGTCATCATCCACACACTGCAACTGAAGCAAAAAAAAAGAAATATTTCAGTCTCTTTTGTGTGTGGCTGCGTTTGATTTCAGATGCGACGCTAACATGCCATACAGTATGTTCTCTCCTCATCCTATTGATATGGTATCGTCGGTTGTGCCTGGATAGCGACAATGAGCTATGCATTGTGCATTTCATGTATATATTTTAATCTTTTTTTTTTTTTTTTACAGTCTGGATGCTTGTACAGTTTTGGTTTTTTCCTCATTGAATATCTGTGAAATATTTACATGTTTAGCATGAAAGGAATAGTTTTGGAAATGTGCTTATTCGCTTTCCTCCTGAGAGTGAGATGAGAAGATCGATATCACTCTCACGTTTGTACAGTAAACATGAAGCTACAGCCAGGAGCCGGTTAGCTTAGCATAGCATAAAGACTGGAAATAATGGGAAACAGCTAGACTCTTTTTGAAGGGAACAAAATCGGCCTGCCAGCACATCTAAAGCTCACTTATTATATCTCCTTTGTTAATCCAGAGAGGACGACTCTCTCAGTGTCGGACTTTTGAAATGCCTTGTTTAATCCCTACAAAATTTAAGTGAATGGACTATATATACACTTCAGTTTTGGTAATCATTGTCCCTGGCCAAGAAAGACAGCACAACCCCCCGCCCCCACTATACTTTTTTTTTCTACCAATTAAACGAACAAGATACGAGATGTTAATTGGTGAGCTTCAGAGACAGAGCCAGGTTAGCTCCTTTCCCCCTGCTTCGTGTCTTATGCTACGCTAAGCTATCCAGCTGCTGGCTCTGGCTTCATACGTGTGTGCATAAACAGTGCAGAGTGGCATCATTCTTTTCCTCCATTACTAATAAGCATATGTCAAACTATTCCTTTGATGGATTTAGTTGTTTTCCTGCCGCACTCCATAGCATGTCACTGAATTACCATTTTGAACCAGATTTTAAAAAAAGACCGCTCAACATCAGTAAAATAAACACAGTGTCACTAAGCAGAGCTCCTCTTTGAAATGGAAATATGTACTCTACCAAACCGAGCAGGAACTGTATACATTAACCTCCACTGTCCCACCCGTCACTGACAAGGTGCCGGTTATAACTACAGCATTTCATGTGGTGTCTTTACGTGCAGACTGTTAATAACACAGGAGCCATAAAAAGAAACAAAGCCTGGAAACTAGCTTCATTTCACAACCGAGGTTTTATTTATTCTTTTTTTTTAAGTTCTGCAGTTACATGTTTACTACGAGTGAATGTCAGTGACTCGGCATTATCAGCTTCCAGCTCTTATCTCTGTGATTGTGTGCATGCTGATGCTCCCACACACTGTTTGCCGCTCTGATCTGAACCGATCCGGTGCATGGCCTCAATTACTTTCCTCCAAATTTCCTCTTTCCTCTATTTCGCTGTGCACCAGAACCACAAGCTGCGTTACATATGCACATCTTTATAGTTTAATCAGAAAATGAAACTTCCTACAAACAAAAAAGGTGAGGAGCGCACGTGGCAGCACAGCACTCGTCGATTGGTTTGTTGCACCTGGTAACCACAGGTGTTGGTGAAAAGTACACCTTCGTCGATGAGGAAGTCTGGTGTCGTCTTACTGACGCAGACCGAGAGGGGCTGCAACGAGCGCTGCACAAAAAAGCAGGGAAGAGGATCCGTCTGTGAAATATTGATGAGACGACGGGCTTTTCTGCTGCACGACAGAGAAGTGCATTTTGAAAAGATCCAGGAGGGAAAGGTCTCTTGTTCTGTGTTTGTGCTTCTTGTATGCTCTTTTGAAAACTGTTGCTCCTCGTAAGCAGGGGTCGAAATAAATGTTGCCTTATACCGAAATCTACCACCCTGCTACTCCAAAGACTGTCAACCATCGTGTTTAACAAAGTGAACCAGAGCTCCCTTCCACAGAATCCAACTCCTGCAGCTCAGTTTACACCGACACGACATGCAGTTCCTCTTTGTCTTGACTGGAGATATGAATTTAAAGACTTCAGCGTCTTTTATTTGAAACAGAACGGTTAACAAGTGTACTGTAAAAAGTGTGAAAGAGCTACAACTGCGGCATCCACTGTGAAACCCCGGTGATACACTGACGGATGGTAAAATCATATTTTTCAAAAATTACTCAAATGCTTCTTTCTTTTCTGTCGGGAAACATTGATCTGCAGTGTTGATAACTGTTTTAGAGGGATTTCTCTTTCTTTAGTATATAGTGCTGTAATTTATAAACTGTAGTGCCTGTTCATCTGCATACGCAAAAATAAAAGATGTCATCAGAAAACTGAGGCACATATGAGACTCTGAGATCAAAAATTAAAAAAGTAGCCTTGATGTTTCAGTGTTTACAACAGTGGTGGAACAGAGTATTAATCATCAAGAGTAAATCGGCATGAGGCTAACTCTTAAAAAAACACAAACTGCTACTTCCTGAAGCATTTACTGTAGGAGCTGGGAGGAGAGCCAGGGTTGATGTACTGTGGAGGTGATGAGTGAATTGCTGACAGGTGTGTGCGGTGCAGGGAGAGGTGACGAGCTGATTGGTGTCAGGTGCGTGTGTGGGTAGACTTAGAGCCCAGGTTGGCGTCAGGACGGGATACACACATACACACCGAAACACACAGAGGGACAATCAGGGGACCCTGGAAAACGAGAGGTGGGGACAACTGAGGAACACAAGTAAGGGGACGCAAGAGACACTGGGGAACTGAGCACGCATTCTGCAGGATAAATTCCCCCTCTGCCATACTATTACATATTTGATTATTGGTTTATTATTGCTGATGCATTAATGTGTCTAAGTTCAGCTATATTATGTTCTGTTGGTAGTTTAATCTACAGAAATTCATCAGATTTATAAAATAATTGTACGTGTAATTTCCTTTTCTTCTTTATCAGTAAAGTAAACAGTAACCATGGCTGTCAAATAAATGGAGTTTTAAAGTATTTCCCTTAGAATAATAGTGGAATATGAAGTAGGATGAAATAGAAATACTAAAGTTTCTCAAATTGTACTTTACTTGAGTAAATGTACTAAGTTTCATTCCACCGCCATTTATCTCTTACCCATAGCGATCTGTTAACAAAGAAACAAGGATTAATAGCTAAATATTAGAATAATATGATGTATCAAAAGTAGTAGACTTTAATTAAAGCAAATTTGCATAATGAATTTAAATATTTTTGAGTCAATATTTGTCCTCACTATACAACAAATACAAAAAAAATCATTTAGGGTCAGTGGTGGAAGAAGTAGTAAGATCCTTAACTTAAGTGAAAGTACCAATACAACAATGTCAAAATAGTAAATTACAAGTAGCATTACAGTACATTACTGTATCAGCAATTTGTACTGTAAGTATCAAAGGTAAAGGTTCTGCCAAATTACCCCGGTGGGTGATCTAATAATAGTAATACATTTATGTTGTATAGCGCTTTAAAGGGTACTTCAAGGCACTTTACATGGTGAATTCAGAAACAGTAAAAACAATAAAGAACCAGTAAAAGCAATATTAATAATCTACAGTGAATTCAGAAAGTATTCAGACTGCTATATTTTATTATGTGGCAGCCTTTACTAAACTTGTTCAAATTCATTTGTCCCTCTTCAATCTACGCTCAAAACCCCACAGCGACAAGTGAAAACAGTATTTTAGAAAAGTTATGCGAAAGAAAAGAACTGAAATATCACATTTATCTAAGTACTCAGATCCTTTGCCATAACACAGGTGCCTCCCATTTGTCTTGATCATCTCTGAGATGTTTGGAGTTCACCTGTGGTACATTAAATTGATTGGACAGGATTTGACGATGAAAGGCACACACCTGTGTGTATAAAGGTTTCCCAGTTGACAATGCACATTTAAGCAAAAGACTGAATGCTTATTATGTTAAATATATCAAGAGTGGTGCCCCCTTTTGAATGAATTCAGAGTATGTAAAGAAGACAGTCCGAGCTTTAGAATCTAGTCTGAGAAGGACTTAAATTAAGGTTAAGTCTGTGTCCCCTGGGTTTAACGTTGAACGTCATGCCCGAGTTTGCCACTAGAGGTCAGCAGTAACCACATTCAGCTCTTTGTCCCTTTAATCATCATAATGTGAGTCAGAATCCCACAGATACCAAGAATCCTTCAGTATCATCCGGCAAATCAACACACCAGCTGCCAGTTAATGGACGTCATAGACAAGCTTACAAGATTCCCACAGTGACTCAGGACTTTCCCCAACGTAGACAGATTGGTTGATTTTTATTCTTCAAAACTTTAATGACATGCTACTTGTTTGTGGTGTGGACATCAGTCAACTAATGCAGATCGCTTTAGACTACATTTGTAGTTATTATTTGTTGGTATTTGCGTATTTTCTGAGGATTTTATTCTAGTACAGATTGTACATGACTTACAGGGACAGCAAGCCTGAAAAAACAAAACAAAAAAACATTGCAACTGTTACTATTTGCTTTTCTGAGTACATTTTGTGGTTGGGTGGTGCGTGTGTATTCTTTTCACCTTTAACAAACAGACACAGACAGTTCTAGCTGCTATCGTTTACTGGCATTAATTTTTTTACCTTCCAAAGCATACGTCTCTGAGAATCAGTGTAAAATGTCCTCATTTTGCCACGTTGGGAGAAGATTCATTGTTGCAGAAATAGCTAAAGTTCTAAAATAAAGTTTTTCGGCTAAAGTTACTCAACCAATCAGAAGGTTTAATTAATTCAACACCTGTTCAGCAATGAAAGACAGTAACTTTGGCAAACTGGGTATTTAAGTTGATGTTAAAAAAAAAGGATAAGATAATGCAGGGAAAACGATTTAAATTAAACGGGTTTAAAAGGGTATTAGGATAGATTCTTCTCTTTTAATATTGTCTGTGTTTGCCCCTCCCTACAGAGGGAGTTGAGAAGGATGTGTGTTGGCATGGACTCATCTTTCCAGGGTGGATGTTGAAAAACGGTTGTTGTTTTTCGTAGTGTGCTCTCCGGGACTTTCATCCCGATGGCTCTGATAACTAACATAACCATGTATCACACAATCACCTTAAGACTTAAATCTTAGATCCATGTTTCCTCCTATGAGAATTAAAGCCTTTACATTGTATGCAGGGATGAGCATATACCTTCCACAACACACTCTTACCTGCAGGATTAAACTGCTCATTATAGCCCAAGGCCAGCTTTTTTTGGCAGATATGAAAGAAACAGTTAGTCGTCAGAAGAAAATGCATTAGTGCCTCCTAATAACTGTTTAAAGTTGTTTAGCCTGCTTTATAAAGCACACTTGGTTACATTTACATGCACTATAAACCCTTTATGACTTAGAGACACCACACAGATGCATATTCAGTTTAAATATAGAGTTTATTAAGTCTTGCTTGAAGCTTGAATATTCTTTCCTTCCTCAGGCAGACATTAATTAAGGCAATATCCAGATGTTAATAATTGAAAGTAAGCTTCAAAAATTTGATGAATCAGTGAAACATAAGACACAACTATGAAATTATGAAATAATCCAATAAAAAGACTCTATTGCAGGTCATTTTTATTGCATTCAATCCATTCATTGTCAAAATCATTTATTTTCAAAGTCTGTTGTTTCAGAACAGTATTTTTCCCCAATTAGCATTTTGTTCAATAATGTTACTTTTAATCACGTCTTTGTTTGTCAATCAGGAATGTGCATAAGAAGTGGATGTGGTCACCAACTGGTTTGTAGATTACGGTTTTGAAGCCTTGAGTTTGGCATTTTGGCCGTCGCCATCTTGTTTTTTTGCAACCAGAAGCGACACGAGAGGGTGGAGCTCAGAAGAACTAAATGCTGAATAAGACATATTTATGCGACCAAAATGTTACAGTTAATTAACTTTCACTCACTGAAAACACACTAAAAGGGGGTAAAGATTGATGAGGAGAACAAGGACAACTTCCAGACTAGACAAAGCAATGCCAGCGACCTGTCACTCAATCAAGGTATTCAAAAGCACACCCTGCTTTATGACCTATTTGACTCTAAATGGACCATAATTTACTAAATGAACATCATGCTGTATTGAAGAAGACTTGAAATAGAGATTGAGACCATAAACTCATGTTTACAATGTTTACTGAGGGAATAAATCAAGAGAGAAGTAGAGTCATTTTCTCATAGACTTCTATACAATCAGACTTTTTTTTGCAACCAGAGGAGTCGCCTTCTGCAAAATAAGAAACTTCAAATTTTATAATGTCAAGAACTTTCACTCCACCAAAGTTGTGGTGTACTGACCATAAAGCCATTTTAATTAAGAGCCTTCATTAAATGACTTTACAATTTCACGGTTGTATCATTTTGTTTGTATTTATTTATATGATTATTTATTTCATGTTCATTCATTGTACTTTATTTTACTGAACATTTTGGATCTTCGTAATAAAACATCCACAATATAAAATGCAATATACAGCAATACAAACCAATACAAAGCAATACATAGAAGTTTACAGCATACAATATAAAGCAGGGCTCCTCAGCAGTGAAACAATACTTAGGAAATGCATCACTCCTCACCAAGCTACACCTTAAAAAAACAATTTACTAGTGTTGAAGATCCTTTGATAACAGGTTTTCACTCTTGGATCCAGCAAACTGTCAAAAGTCTCCCTCTCTGTACGTTTCAGATGAGAGAAAAGATGGTTGATGGATTACAGGAGCTGACTCACTGCTTGTGTGTATAGCAGAGCCAGGACCAAACCCCCAAAAAAAGCAAAATTTTCCTAACCACCCGTGGCAGGAAAACTGGCTCTAATTCAAACAGAGACATTGATCAATTTGAGTGGAACGAAAAGACAAAGCAAATGTAGCTGTGGGCGTTTTCCTGAGGCGTGTACGTAAGTGCAATCAGTTCTAACTGTAATTGAGAATCACATTATGGAAAAATAAACAGGCAGATCATGCAAAGGCAGTTTCTGTTTTTGTTTTTTAAAATTTGTGGTTGTTTTTATTCTGCAGTAGAAAAAAGCCTCAACAGCCACATAGTTTTGTCTCTTCCTCTCGCCAAAGATAAACCCTCAAGCAGCAGCTGTTGCTTCAGTGCTGGCAGTGGAAGTGTGTACCAATTGGGGTTGGTCGGTGCACGCGTTTACTGTCACCTTTTCATCTCCGGGTTAGGTGTTCAAGTGCATGGTGAGACAGTGGGTCCTTTTAGTTTTGTAGGTTTCCGTCTCCTCCTCCTCCTCCCAGTAGGCAGCTGCCTCATACTGGGTGAACGAACTGGTACACCAGTCTCTGAGACACGTCAGGCTTGCGGATGATGCCCTTCTTGTAGTATTGGCGTATGGAGCGGCTCAGCTTGTCATAGTTCATGGCAGGTCGGTTCTTTCTGAGCCCCCACAGCCTCGCAACGTGAGCCGAGTCTTCGATTTTAAAAATACCTGGTGGGAATCACAAGAGATACGGAGTTCGTAACGATGTGCCACAAAGTGAACTTAACGGCCGGTGTTTACAATTTAAATAAAAATGTCTTCCAGTTACATGCACACTTATTTTATTTTATTCAAACCAATAGTCTCATTGAGAAGAAAGTGTCTTTAAGGTCTAAACTGACCTGATTAAGAAGGAAGCATTACAGATAATTTTACTGAAAATATTTTTCTTAATTTTAACAATTTAAAACAATGTGAACAATTTAAACCTAAAGTATGAATATACATTTTTGCTTGTGAGATGTTGAATAAGGGCCACTTTATTTTTCCCCTTCATTCCAACGTGCATCCTGATATTAAAATGAAGCAATACAATTCCCAAAGTGAAACCTCAGAGTACTTCCAATACTGTAGCCTTAAAAAAAGTTGAAAATACCTTTTTCTTTATTGAGCCAGCGAATGCAGCGTCCATAGTTGTGAGGTTTACGCAGGAGCTCTCTGAGGAACTGCCACAGATGAATGGGCTGACCGGAACAAGACGAATCTGCCTCGGACCAAAGATCCTCACCGCCTAGATGACACGAAAACAACATTCAGACTTTAAGGATTGTCAGAGAAAATCACACATAGCCAGAGGCCCAAAGGATTACGAGGCAAATTCCAAACTAACCAGGAGTTTCACAAAGCAGGAGCTTGATTTTGCCTGACTGTCCAAATCTTGTACTCACTAAAAAGTAAGTCAACCTAAATGTTTAGTGGTAAATGTTCATATCATTTCATTTTGCGTAATTCCGAGCAAAGTCACAATGCATGTTTTATTTGGTAGAGTTTATTATTGTCATTAAATGACGGGTGTATGAGGAAACCAAACCTACCAGTAGTTTTCGTCTCTCCAACTGAACACCTTTCTTTCATCCAGGCAGCTGGAGAGAGAGAAGAGACATTTAAGTAAAAAAATAAATAAAAAAGATAAAACACACAAAGACACACTCAAACAGCCAAACGTTATTTTATGTTAAATAAATATCACACACTTGACTTCCATATGTCCAGGTGTGCATACAGCGTGTCGCCGCACTGCGGCGAGCGCTGGCGAAACTCCTCCTCGCTCATTGCACACAGGTCCTTTCCTATCAGGTCCTGGAAGGCCTTTCCTGCGTGGGGCAACCTGTACAGATGTTCAGTCCACAGCAGCCACTTCTGGACGTTCCCCGAGTTCCAATCTATAGGGTCTACGAAAACAGAGCACGGTGGGAAAACGGTGAGAAAACTAACCCGGGGTGAGGTTGTTCATCCAAGTCATATTGAGTCAAGGTAAGTTTGTGTGTATTATGATCTGCTACATTTACGCAAGATACGTTCACTGAAACCACAAGGTAATCACACTTTTATGCCAGCACAATTCTAGTCAGTAGATCAGATGCCTGCTTTATGACAGCCAGAAGCCTTACAATACATACTGCTTCCTCTGTTTGCTTTTTGCAAGCAGCAGGGAGACCTCGCCCTTAAGACTGTGTACACTGTTTACTGGCAGGAGAGAAACATCACTGTCACAATCCAGGAGAACTCATGCAAATGTCAGGATTAAACAGATCCTGGAGCAGGCAAACACGGCTTTGCGTCAGTACGAATATGATCTCGGAGATATGTCATGATCCAGTAGCTTAAGTTAAATCAATATACTTTTACTTGCAAATAATGGGTTTTTGAAGATGACAGATTGCAGTCGTGGGTGTGGTGGAAGGCAGCCTACCTGCGGTGATATTGAGCAGTTTGCAGGCTGTTTCAATGTCCTTCAGCACTTCTCCCACCACCATGCTCTGCACCTGCTCCAGAGACCGCTCCTCCTCCTGCCCCTCCAGCCCAGGAGAGAGTCCCTGCTCCTGGCTATCGATGACGGGGCACTGCTCAGGTTCGTCCTCGTCCTCCATGCGAGTCATGGGCACAGCCAGCGCCGGGGAGGCATCTGAAACTTTCACCAGCCAGGTGGCGTCTTCGGTGAGGAGCATGTCGAAGCAGGACAGGTAGAGGCCCGGCACGCCACACTGGGCTTCCCCGCTTGGTTTGGTCTCCCCAAGGTCCCAGGGTTCTGCAGAGCCTCTGTTCCGCTCCAGGAGGGCGAGGGAGTCCTCTGTCATCGCAATCCGCGATCCATACACTGTGCCTTCAGATAAACTGCCCCCTGGATTTGACATAACTGGTACCTGGAGACAGGAAAAGCCACATTAAACTCTATATTTCTAACCTGCACATGAACTAAGAACCGTGCAAACTTTGTTTTAAATGTAGATATAACATTTAAATCTGCAATCTGAAAAACTTTAAAACATTCAAGCAGTTCATCGTCGCTTCGATTATATTCATTTCATGCTTCAAGTCAAAAAGACACTACCTTCTCAGACAGTTCCTCTCCTGCAATTCTCTGGCTGCTAAAACAGCAACTGTTTTAGTTTAGTAATAAACTCCATCCGAGCAGCTGCAGACTAGAGTCCCCTTTTCATAGTGTGTTATGAGCAGAACTGAGTTGAGGCCGTGCTGCTCGACGCTCTATAAGAACCCTGAGCCTGATGGAGGTTCTGGGGAAATGACCCTCAAGAGAGTTAAAACACACACAGCGCTGACAGGCATGGGGCAAAATGGATTTGACTGAGTCTCTTATTTGTGGGTCAGTGGCCCAGAATGGCTGATGCGTTGGGGGTAGGTGACTTGTATTGAGACCTGAAGCAGCTCCGCCGCCTGCCTCGGCTTTCAAGGTGCCGTCTCTGCAGCCTTTCTGTCTCCACTGTCAGCTGGAGTTTTTTAATCAAGTTAGATAATGTGGAGAAGAGCGTCCACTGAAACCACATGTTTCAAAACAATCAAGTTTTATGAAGACTCGACCGATAGCTGCGACGGCTTTCCTCTTAACAGGAAATTGCCGTCATAAGCATTTATGGACGTCAGCTGTAGCACAAGTGTTGTAATCTCAGGGCGAACTCGCATATGGCTCCCATAATGTGTACCTGCCACAGCTGGCACATGGGAGGGCCCACTGCTGCCACACACCGGGTTATCGGTGGTTGTGGCTGACGCCACTGTAAAGGAAGTGTGCTCCCACAGAACACATGTTCAAGGAGGGTCACGGCTTTTATTTGTCAAGACACAACAATGAAATTAAAAGTATCGTAAAATTGCCTAAATGATAAACACCCATCACGCAAAATCATTTGCGAGGGAGCTTGAAAGTAATTCAGGTGACATTAAATCTTTATTATACAAGAAAATGCTCTACAGATGCAAAACAATGTAAATTTACTGTGCAGAAGTAAAAAATGTGGAACATTTTGATCATTGTACCATCACCAGGAGACCGTTTTTTCCCATTTTGTTGCACATTTCTTCGCTAATTGTACTTTAAGATTCTCTTCATTTTTGGTAGGATTTTGGCCCAAACCCTTTCCTAATGCTGATATTAAAAACCTATCAGGTGATTGTTTTTTTTTTTCTTATTGACACATTTACCAAACTTCCCCAAAAGTGAAATGAAGTTATCTTCCCCGCCCCTAAAAAAGATTACCCTTCCAGACTTTGGTCCTGAACCCCCCACTGTAAAACCTCCTACCCAGTCTTCCTTTTATCTCCAAATTCCTCGTAAACTATAACCCACACTCCCTTTCACTCCACCAGGAGTCAGATTAAAAGCCACTGGTATCCCAGCCTGGCTGCTTCGCGTCAACTGTGCTCTGTAACAGCTTGCGCTAAGCCCATTAGCGAAGCAAATTTAGCCATATTACCTTCTTCCAAAAGGAAGAGGGAGCACAATAAAAAGACACAAACACACACCCCTGCAGAGAGGGATTAAGACCTTGACTGATCTCTAAATGAGTTTGGTCAGATCGCTGATATTCATTTCGGGAGCATTAGAGCTTGCTCCATTTACTCAGCAAAGTCACGCTTTGACACCGACGGAAAAGGACTCCCTTCCATGCTGGCGTCCACCCTGGGAACCTTATTTCTCCCACATACTTGGTCTCATTTAACATGGAGAGGGTGATTATTTGAGGGGTATCATCACCTTGGATTTTATATGATTGGAGCTGTGTTATTGGAATCATGTTTGTTTTTTTTGTTCGACAAAAAAAACGAAACAAAACTGAGCAAAGTGTGACATGTTATATTTCAACAGGAAAAAAAACAGGAAAAAAAAATCAAAAGTCCCAATAAGAGTTTTGATGCGGAACCAGACAGGAAACAGCTGTTTAAATTGAGTTAAAGAGTTTGTGAGACCTTCCAAACCCTCTCTCAATGTGAAAGTGGTTAAAAGTTGCAGACCAATACAAACTAATCTAGCCTGAAATGAACGCGTTAGCCCATTCATCACTGTTGCTGAAACAGTTTTGTGACAGGAGTTGGCTGAATTGTTTAGATTAAAGTTAATGAGTAGTGATTAAAACAAGCAAAAATCTTTTCTTCCAAAGTCTGTTTAACCTGGATGATTCAATCTGAGCTGAAAAAAAAGAAAAGGTCATGTGTGAGATTTGAGATCGTCTATCTAATAGCAACCAAAATGTTTATTAGCTCCTCGGCTCGTCACAAAAAAAAGAAAAAGAAAAGCTCTGTGTTGTTTGAGTCTGGAGTTAAAGTGTGTACAGCCAGGCGTGACTGTTTGCCATGAGAGCGTTAAAGGGAGACTTTTTTTAATCTTTTCCTTGTTATTGTTTAAACTTGGATCCACTAAGGAAGTCATTGTTCCCGACAACAAGGGGAAAACACTATTGCAATATTGGTGCACCCGGTGATTCATTTCTGCTGATCGTCAGGTGCACTGGCATTGGGCCAGTATCAGGAACCAGTGCAAAAGCTTTACTGTTGGTGAAAACGAATTTTGGCGGAGGGCTATATTTACGGTTAGTGATGCAGATGATAAACTTCACTTGGCTGAGATTTGACCTTGAGATTTGGAGGCGTAGCACGGACGGATGGAGAAATAAACCTGTCACCTGCAGAGATAGTGAAAATATGGACTCACCATGAGGCCTAAGGCTTGTGCTGCTCACGCAGCTGGAAGATCAGAAGGAGCAGGGTGTTAATAGTAGTTTAAAAAGGTTACACAATATCTGGCATAATCTGCAGCTGCTTTAAAAGGTGTCATTTAAAACCCAGTTGTAGATTTAACTACCTTATGATTGACTTATGGGCCGATAGTGCAGACTGACACAAGTCAGCTTCTATCCATTTCTTTTCTTTTTTTTGTGCATATTTTCTATTTGTACATTTTTAAAAAACTCAGTGGAGACGCTTATAAAATGTCACATAAAAAGCAAAATTTGACCTTGTAAATATATCATGATGTGCATGAAAAATGTGACTTTAACGTCCACTGAAGAGACAAAAATCACATCTGTGTGGACCAATTAGGAGACTTTCCTCCAATTTATGAAACCAACATAAATGCTATACTCCATCACGTTTTCATCATTTTTGTTCGTTTTCTTTTGTTGACATGATGGACGTTTCCTTTAAATTTCTGCTAAATTTGGACAGAATCTTCTCTATACTAAAGTATGCTTCATCAGTGTTTGTCAGATGGTCTCCTTGATTTTCACTGGTTCCTGATACTGGCCCAATGCCAGTGCTTCTGTGTCTGACCATTTCTGTAACTTTTCGAAACCGACAATGTAATATTTACAACGTGATTGGGTTTGACCCTCTCTCTCTCAAGCTCCCCTTTTTCGCTATTTCCATCATTTTTTTATGTGAACAACCAAGTGCAAAACGAGGAACAGAGAAAATATGCACCAATATCTCCATATTTAAGATGTCATTAGAACTGTTCTCTGATTGATTGTAACCCAATACTGATTCCTAATACATAATAGTGTTGAAATCTTGAGTGTGCTATATATATATAACTGTGGTACAAAAAGTCATCAGAGGCTAAGTAGGGTTCAGAAAAGGTGGATGCTGCTGTAAACTTAATTTTTGCTGAAGTTCAGCCTTATATGGTGTGTTTGTTGTCCAACAGTAAAACCTCCTTTAGTCTATTACTGAGTCACAGCAGCTTAACATGCTCCATAAATAAGATCCAAATCTGTTTTTTAATAACCTAAACCAGAGTGATGCTGTGGAGTAATGATACAGATCAGCTTGACATTAAAGATCTGATTGAGGGGGGAAACAGACACCTGCACATTCAGAAACAACAGTCCAATTATGTTGTCTGTTTGAAATGTATACTCATACTTATACTTATTACAGTCTTGTCTTGGGGGATCTGTGTTAAATTTTCACCTTTAATAAAAATCGTAATTAAATCTCCCTGACAGCAGTGAAACATTTATTTTGAATATGTCAGCTCATCGTTTTTTGGGCATCAAACCACCAATTACGCTGCCAGACACCTTTTATCTGTCCACATTTTGACACAAATTATACATGTACAGAAACAAGAAAAACAAGTAAGCATGCCAGAGATATACAGAGCAAACACAAAGAAAACTAAACAGAAATGATTAGGTAAATTAATGAGATAACAGCTTTTCTGTCCTCATCAATTGTCTTTTGTTGTTTTTAATCCTGTGTTCTGAAGCTAAAGACAATTGTGGACAAGAAAGTTCCAAAATTCTGGCAATAAATCATATTATTCATAATATTTTTAACTGACTGCCAAAGATTTAAGTGTGTACAACCATCAATTAATAATCATAGACAATAATGAGTCACCTCTCTAGATATTCTTAATCCTGTTCCAGGTAAATTGCACAGAAGATGCCTTTGTGCTCTCTGAAAGATACGATGGTGATTGTGTCAAGCAGTGTCTTCTTACCGAGGCAAAGATGCTCTGATGGCCAGAGGCAGAGACTTGACTGGGTGATAAAAGATGCGATGCAGCTCTGGTCCTGTCGAAGGATGAACGACTGCCTTTTGATCCCGTTTGCAGACCGATGCTCAGCTCAGACGGGATGCCCGGGTGTTACCTGAGGAAAGAGGTGCAGTATGGCAGTGGGCGCCCTTCAATCTTTTCTCCCCCCCCCCCCCAGTGTCAGCAGAGCCCACCAGCCTCGAGGCCTCGGATCTTCCCAGGCTCTTTGGTGGAATCACGCTTATTCTGAAAGTCACAGCCTAAAGCTCAACTGCAAACTAAACTTCAAGTGAAAGCACCTGCTGGGGGTGTGTACAAAGTGAAAAGAAGTGAGGGCAAGTGACTCGGTGAGTGAGTGCAAAGGAATTCCAGCTCCATTGACTGCAATTTATATTTATAGGCCAGTCGTGTTTACTCTGTGTGTGTGTGCGTGTGTGTGTGTGTGTGTGTGTGTCTGAAGTGCCATGTGTCTTGCAGATTAAACTCAGACTTTCTCAAACACTACTAGTTGACCTCAGTACTTAGGTGACAGACAATTCAAGATGATAAGAGACTAAAGAATATACTTTGAAAGTAAAAATGTCTATGAAAACAAAAAGCTTTCTTTCCAAGTACTATGGACCTCCTTCATTTCAAATTTGAAGTAGATGTCCTCTACTTGAGTATTTCCATTCACAACACCACAAATTTCAGAGGCAAATATTCTACTTATTACTCAACTATATATTTAACAGCTGTAACTACTATTTCTAAGAATAATATTTAACACTTAAAAAGCACAAGCTTATGAAATACAATACATTATTAAAGATTAAACCAGTGGTTCCCACAAAAAACGCCCAAGAGTCCATGAGTTCAGATGATGACGACGACGATGTCTATGAGATTTTCCCGCTCTAAACTTCTCACATGGTTCCATTTAAATAACTGTCAGAGGCCCAAAGATTTGTATTTATATTTCATTAATAAAAACAAATTTTACAGAAACGTCTAAAATATAATAAAAAATTTTGCAGCAGAACTTTTATTCTACCCCATTAATCATCTTACGACCCTTCAGGTTTACGTGGTGACCCTTCGGAAGTGCCCGACCCCTAGGTTGGAAACCACTCCATCCGTATTACAAATCTATGGCATACATAATGATATATCAGCCACAGGAGCCCTTTTTTCTGTAGAACGAGTATACTTTTACTTTTTTTATACTTTAAGTACATTTCGCTAACAATACTTTGCACTATTACTTAAAGGAGCAATATACCACATTCTGAACATTACTATTGCAGCAAATATTGGAGTAATGTCAACTTGAGCAGAGAATGAATGACTCTCTCCCTCTATGTAGGTTGTTAGCCGAGCCAATGCTTTTAGTGCATGTTAGTGCATGTTAGCGCATGTGAGCGTGCCCCACTGGTTAGCTCACGGCCGCCGCTCTGCACTGCTCTCATACGGTGGTTACAGTTGACAGGGGTAAACACTGTTGGCTCTGTCAGCATGTTTACCGTAGTTTATAAGTTTAGCGCTGTTAGCACCGTTAGCTATGAGCCACGGGTTCAGGTGTATCCGTGTTGAGAGCCGTTGAGAGGCAATCGAAATACTCCCAATGCAGCTTTACCGTTTATTCAATGTAATGGGACATCTTTACGTTGTGGAATTGATACTTTGAGTTTTTATATTCTCATACATCACTGTATGTGACTACATTTCCTGGTTTCACGGAGACTCTCAGGTGACCTGCAGTTACGAGAAATAAATGTCTGGTGATTAGGCTCAGACAACATTTGAAAAACTTCATCTCCCAAGATATTAATATGTTATTAGAAAACTTGGACCACTAGCTTTAAAATTAAAAATTAATGAACAGATTATGTGGTGAAAACCCTTTACTTGATAGATACATTTACATATTTGCAAGTCTGTCTTAAAACCAGTATAGACAGGGGGAACAATTAAAGCGAACACTAGGGCCTACAGGTGTTTTCATTTAATCTCCAGGATAAGACTTCTTCTCAGTACTGTGATGCACTTTTGTTAAAATAACTTTTATTAGGCTAGATTAAGTTTAGTGACCTCGTGTGATTTCCAGAGGAGCTATGGCCAACTTTAAACTAATTTCAATTGATTCTATTTCACCAGGATAAACCACTCAGTAACAACACTTTCAGTCCTACAGCTCCTGGTTCCTGACCAGCTGATGTGTAATCAACCGGAATAAGTAAAAACACCTGTGTGGGTGTGCCAGGTACAATAATGTAGCTGATGGAGGTGGAGAGAATTCTAACTGCTTTATATTGCATAATGTTCAGATAATCTATTAACAATGCATCATATGTCATAAGCATCATTTTGTATTTAAAACTTTCAAAGAAAATATTGCAGCTCAGTAAAAAATCCCCTCTTAAATGTTAAGAGTGAATCAGCATAAAATGTAATTATTCAAATACATGTAAAGTCGAAAATTGTACTTAAGTTAATGTATATAGCTTGCATGTGTTGGTAGGCTATCAAAATACCTACCTACTGTTGACTTAAATAGTAAGTCGATGCCTAGTCTCTGTGGTCAGTCTGAATTTATGTCCAATACAATGAAAAATAAAATCCACATGTCCATGGAAAATATCTCAAACTACTGTGCAGCTTACTCCACTTCACCGCTGCCCTACCACACCCTCAACACGTATTATTTCCCCAAAAATGATTTCCTTTTGTGTGGCTAGCTGTAACTTTGTCTTTGTGACTATTTCTGCATTTCTTACAACACAATCCAACTTGCTTTTGTTTTTGCTTTCTTGGGACAGTTTAATGTTTATTATCAACATCTAGCGCAAGCGTCAGCTGTAACAGATAGCACGTATAATGTAGTCATTGTGGCAATTTTTGCTTACATTTATCACAAAACAACATGACTTACATACAAGTTTTCACTTTCGTCAGTGTCTGTTTGTAGAAAACTTATTATCAGCTGAGTTCAGTCACTTAAGTGTCATCTTGACAAATGGTAAGAATCGTCAAGGGATAGGTTAGCGTGAGCGCTGCCGTGGTAATGGATGCTAGCGTAGCAGTTGATGTGCGGCTAGCTGTTTAATCATCATTTAATCAGTCATTGTGACTATTGTGCTTATATTTATCACAAAACAACATGTCTTGCTATTGTTTTTCATTTCTTTCGACAGTTTAATGTTAACCATCAAAATGTTATCAGCTGAGTTGAGTGTCAACTTGACTAATGTTAAGATTCATCTGGGGTTAGCATTAGCTATGCTGTGGTTATGTTTGCTAGCTAACTGGTAGCTACTGGTAGCTAGTGGTAGCTAGTGGTAGCTAGCGGTGGTAAATTGATATTAAGGGTGCGTTCGTAAATCCAATTTGACGCTGTGCACTAAAATGAGACTGCTGCTGTTCTAAGAAACAGAGCTCTAGTTAATGAATGTTTAAGTTAAAATGGACGAAGGAAAAATAATCCTATCAATATTTATAATACAAAATAACGCCTCTTGTGATGAGACGGGAGACTGGAACAATATGCCGATGAAAATAAGTTCGAAAACTTGGGCTATAGCTAACGTTAGGAGTTTGGGAAAATGTAACCCAGGTAGCTTAGCTAAACATTTTATCAAACAGTACAGGGAAAAAGTAACTTTCACACATTCACTGTGCTTGACGCTCTGCCAGTCCAAGTGTGGCGCTCCGAATTTAATGG